CTGCCTTGGCTCATGACAACTGTTTTCTCGACACTGATGGTAAGTGAAAACATTTCAAATAGCCGATTCATAAGCCTCTGGAGCTGCTCTTCTGTGTGTGAAACGATTGCTGCATCATCAGCATATAGTAATTCACGAATCAAGATGGATTTTACCTTAGTCTTTGCTTTGAGTCTGGATATATTGTAAAGTTTGCCACTTGTTCTTGTATGCAGGTATACTCCTTAAATTCATCATTAAAGGCATACTTTAGGAGCATGGAGAAGTAGATACCGAACAATGTGGGAGCCAGAACACAGCCTTGTTTCGCTCCACTCTTTAACTCAAAGCTATTAGATGTGGAGCCATCAAACTGTACAGTACCATGCATGTGTTTATGAAATGAGTGTATGAGATTGAGCAGCTTCTGACATCCAATCTTCTCTACGATCTTGTACAGACCTGCTCTACTAATTGTATCAAACGCCTTTGTAAGGTCGACAAAGGCAATGAATAGCGGCATCTGCTGTTCCCTGCATTTTTCTTGCAGTTGACGGAGGGAAAAGATCATTTCCACTGTAGATCTTGATGGCCGGAAACCACACTGTGCCTCTGGATAGATGCGATCTTTAGCTACGACTTTTCCTGTAACACTGAGGAGGGATATGCCGCGGTAGTTGTTACAATCCCCGCAGTCTCCTTTATTTTTGTACAGAGTGATGATGTTCGCATCCCGCATATCATGTGAGATGGTTTCTGGCCGCCAACAGAGGAGGAGGAGATCATAGAGATGGGGTAATATTCTTACTTTTCCACATTTAAGTATTTCAGCTGGAATTCCATCCTTACCAGGTGCCTTTCCATTTGCTAAAGAATCGATAGCTTGACTCAGCTCAAGTACTGAAGGTTCATGATCCAGCTTACCCATAACATGTAGTTGAGGTAGGGTATCAAGTGCAACTTGTGAGATATAAGTTTCCCTGGAGTACAACTCAAGATGGTGTTCCACCCAACGAGACATCTGTTTATTCTTGTCGGTCAGTACTTCACCATCCAGTGATTTCAAAGGGGCGGTTTTTATGATAGTGGGTCCAATGGCCTTCTTGATACCTTCATACATCATGCGAAGGTCCCCTTTATCAGATGCCGTCTGAATTTCTTCACAGAGTTTGATCCAATATTGGTTTGCACAGTACCTTGCTGTCTTCTGAACTACAGCTTTTGCAAGTTTTAGTTCTTTAAATGTGCCTACTGTTGGGTTTAGATTACGTGTGAGGTATGCTGCATTCTTGGCTTCAATGACTGGTATCATTTCTGCTGAGTGGGCTCTAAACCAATCTTTATTGCTTTTTCTGTTTTTGCTAAAAGTTTTTTCCGCAGTCTTATAGATGGTGGAACTTATAGTATTCCAAACTTCATCTACATTTCCTTGCAGGCCTTCAGCAGGCAGTGAATGTTCCATTGCTTCAATAAACTGTTGGCATTTAGCTTCGTTTTTTGTACCAGCAATATTAATGCGTGGTAGACCATTATGCTTGGAGGTGTGGAGTTTCCGTAGTTGAAACTTTACTTTGCTGATGACAAAAGAGTGATCTGTGTCACAATATGCACTGTGGTAGGTACGAGTATGGAAAACGCTTGGTAGATCACGTCTTCTGGTGATAATAGGTCAAGTTGGTGCCAATGACCAGACCTCGGATGACGCCAAGAAACCTTGTGTCAGTGTTTTCCTTGAAAATAGGTGTTTGTGATGCATAGCTCTCTTTGTGCACAGAGTTCAAGTAAACGTTGCCCATTTTCATTTATCCTGCCCACACCATGGTAACCAAGGCACATTGGCCATGGAACTCTGTCTGATCCCACACGTGCATTTAAGTCGCCAACAATAAAGAGCTTCTCTCCTTGTGGTACTCGTGCCAAAATCTCATTTAGACAGTCATAGAAACTATCTTTATCTTGCTCATTTGCATACAGATAGTGAGATAATGCGTTCAGAGGTTACTACTGGCGATTCAATCTTTTGTATTAGTCTGTTGCTTACTGCAAAGCCTACACCATATTCACGGCGATCTTCAGAACTCTTGCCGTGCCAGTAGAATGTATAACTTACTTCACGTATTGAACCTGTGTCTGCTAGTCTTGTTTCCTGTAGTGGTCATATCAATATGACTTTTATCTAACTCACGGTCAATTAGTGCTGATTTACGTATGTTTTCTGTCATCAGTATATGTTCATTCATGTCAGGACACATGGTTCTGACATTCCAGCTGCCAAGCTGGAAAATTTCGCATTTCTGTTTCTTCTTGCTGGGTGTCATTTTACCGTCCGCTTTTCGAGATTAATCTATCCTCATTCACCCGCAGAGGCAGGCAGACCTTGGCGGGTCAATACCTTACTGGCTGGGGGCTGCCCAGCTTAGGCGGGCGGATACTGACCAATAGGATGCGATGATCCTTCCCACCGTCGGATGTAACCCGTGGCGCCCATGCACAACGCCAGTTTAGCTGGACTTATAACCCGTAAACTGCTACACCCCGTGTTGGTTCCCTTACTAGTGATAGTAAGGATGAAGTGTCCTCTCCATGATGATTGATGATTTGATTATTTACTACAATAGCCTGGGCAGTGATATGGGGACCTAAACTTGCCCGGTATCTTGGTCCCCCTCTCGACCTTGCTGGCTGTGTCTAGAGGAAAAGCGATGCTTCTACGTCTACAGTCAGTTTGGTTGCAGGAGTTGCCAGAGGGTGCATCCATAGCACCAACCGCCTAACGGGGCTCCACTCCGGTTTTTCTGTTAGGGTGTACTCCCTTAGCCTTGGGCTTTCCTGAGCCTGATCCACAAGGCAGTGGGTGCTATTTAATCCATAGCTGGAGCTTTGTTGATGGACGTCAGGGTATATCCACACGCCGATGCACCGTGCACGTCGCATAGGCTCCTCCGAGATCCCTTGTGGTTCGGCCTGAGGTCACAAGACACCCAGTGTACCGTGTGTTGCCACGAGGAGGCACCACAAGTGTCTTGGTGATGCAGAGGCTATGTACTGGCAGGAGAGACTTACGCATTCGGCTCTCTTTTCACGACAGACGTTAGCCAGTGGTGATGGCTTAATGATCATCACACTAGACGCGTAACATCACCCTGGTGCAAAAGCCACAACACATGAGTGTTTTTTCGCAATTCTAGATACTTGTATAAAAAAGTGAAAATAATGAATAATAAAAATATAACAAATAATATGAGACACGACCCATTGTCTATATTAGAACACTTCTCATTTGGTAACAAAGTCGTAATTTTTCATTTTTGTCAAAAAGTGTCTATAGTGGTGAATTATGGTTTAGGTTTTTTTTAAATAAAGTTTCAAAAATTTCTATGTATGTGGAAAATGTAGTTGATTACCAAAGGTAAAAATTTTTATTTTGAAGACTGCATGGTCTAGGAA